AACAACGACAACTATAACCAAAAAACAGCCAGACATTGTGGCAGGCGCCTGTAGTCCCAGCTACTTGGGAGGCTGAGGCAAGAGGATCGCTTGAGCCCAAGAGTTTGAGGTTGCTGTGAGTTGTAATGCCACAGCACTCTACTGAGGGTGACAAAATAAGACTCTTATCTCTAAAACAAACAAAAAAAAAAATAAAATAAAAAATAATTTGCCTTTTCTACTCATTCTCTTACAAGTATCCAGTGGAATATTCTAGAAGCAGTATGACATGTGATGACATTATTGTTCTTATAGCTAATGGAATATGTCTGTATATTGTATTTTCCAGAATTTTCTAAGGTAAGCATTTAGAATCTTCAGTAACTTTCAAGAATTTAAAGGTGCCCTGTATCAGAAATTTTGAGAACTCTTGGTATAGAGATAAATGAGGAAGACAGCTTGACGACTTAAAAACAAAAGTAATGGTTCCTCATTTTCCTTCACATTTCCTACCAATCAACCCACTTGACAACTGAAATTTTCTAACATATCTGAAGCAAAGATATGAAATGAACTATAAATAGCTAAATTTAACTAGCTACTGTGCTTTAGAGAAATAGCTTGGGACAAAAGCATAACAGAGATTTATGTATTTTGTTGCTGAGTAGAAAATTTCATTCCAGATAATAAGAATTCTTAATGTTTTAGTCCAATTCATATCCCACTAATGGGATTCTTTTAAATTTATAGGTACTTTGCTGAACCAAAGAGGAACAAATTTGACAGTATCTCTCTAAAATATCTTTAAAGTTCTTGTACTTATTTTTTAATGGGTAAGAATTTTGTGCTTAAGAGCCAAAGTTAGCTTTGACCTGCTGCTCCCTAAAGCAGGCCATCACTTCATAACCTTTCTTTCTTGTTTCAAAGTCTCTCACAAAACCTGTCAAGGGAGTCTGGGTGACATACTAATGCTGCATCAGCACAAATTTATCTGTTTTACTGGAGAAGCAACTCAAAGTACATGTGTTTTGTCATTTTGAAGGCTGTGTCCTGCCAAATAATTTTATATTGGAGGAGTTAAATATTTAAGAAACAATTTCTAAGGCTGGGCGTGGTGGCTCACGCCTGTAATCCTAGCACTCTGGAAGGTGGAGGTGGGCGGACTGCCTGAGCTCACAGGTTTGAGATCAACCTGAGTAAGAGCGAGACCCAGCCTCTAAAAACAGCCCGGCATTGTGGCAGGAGATTACAGACCTAGCTACTTGGGAGGTTGAGGCAAGAGAATCGATTTAAGCCCAAGAGTTCGAGGTTGCTGTGTGTATGATGCCAGGGCATTCTTTTTTTTGAGACAGGAGCCTCAAGCTGTCCCCCTGGGTAAAGTGCCATGGCATTTCAGCTCACAGCAACCTCCAACTCCTGGGCTCAAGCGAGTCTCCTGCCTCCGCCTCCCAAGTAGCTGGGACCACAGGTGCTCGCCACAACGCCTGGCAATTTTTTGGTTGCAGCCGTCATTGTTGTTTTGGCGGGCCCGGGTTGGATTCGAACCCGCCACCTTGGGTGTACGTGGCTGGTGCCTTAGCCACTTGAGCCACAGGCACTGAGCTAGATGCCAGGGCATTCTACTGAGGGTAACAAAGTGAGACTCTGTCTTTTTTTTTTTGTGAAACCAGGAGTTAGCTCTACATTACTAGTCAATGGCCTGGGGAGGAAATCCATTTTAATAAGGCATTCAGATAGCCCTTTGGAAAACACCTGATGGGAGTGAAATTTTAATTATTCACCTTAACAGGAAACAAAGACTATTATCAACTAATTTGCACAAATAATTGAAAAATATTATTGTAGCAATTTAGATTTAGAGTATATCTTTTATTTTTTTTTATTTTTTTTTTTTTTTTGAGACAGAGCCTCAAGCTGTCCCCCTGGGCAGAGTGCCGTGGCATTACAGCTCACAGCAACCTCCAACTCCTGGGCTCAAGCGAGTCTCCTGCCTCCGCCTCCCAAGTAGCTGGGACCACAGGCGCCCGCCACAACGCCCGGCTATTTTTTGGTTGCAGCCGTCATTGTTGTTTGGCGGGTCCAGGCTGGGGATTCGAACCCTCCACCTTAGGTGTACGTGGCTGGCGCCTTAGCTGGTTGAGCTATAGGCGCCGAGCCTAGAGTATATCTTTTAAAGAAAATATAGATCAAGACTCAGCGCCCAGAGCTTAGTGGTTAGGGTGTCAGCCACATACACCAGAGCTGGCAGGTTCAAACCTGACCTGGGCCAGCTAAAACAACAACTGCAACAACAACAAAAAACAGCCAGGCATTATGGTGGGCACTTGTAGTCCCAGCTATTTGGGAGGCTGAGGTAATAGAATTGCTTAAGCTCAAGAGTTAAAGGTTGCTGTGAGCTGTTGACGTCACGGCACTCTACCTAGGGCACCATAGTGAGACTCTGTCTCAAAAAAATATATAAATAAATAAGTAAATAAATAAATGCAGAGCAGTTTAAGTGCATGGATTGTATGCCTGTCTTCTAAGTTAGGTGCTAACAGCAGTTACAACTGAGGTTCTAATAAGCAAAATGGTAAGGAAGAAAAAACCCAAACACCTGAACAATACATAAACTACCTCATCAACCATCAGCTTCATGAAAACCAATTTTGTTTAATTAATATTACTCCCTTTCAAGCATATCCAGACTTAATATCACTTAAGAAAATACAATGAAAGGGACTATGTAATTTAGATGTCAGATGGTAGTACCTATACTAAAGTCCTTTAATTTTTTGGCAAACAATTCTTTAGGTATAAATGGTCACTTGAAAAGGCACATAAAGAATCATTTATTAGGCACTGTCTCTTGCGTGCCAATTTTGGAAAATTTCAGCAATAATTACATTAATGCTGACACCTAGTGGCAAGAAAGAGCATCTTTCTTTTATGTTACCTGAATTGTACCTTCCAAACTAGACATTTCCAAATCTCCCCCCAAAATTATCCATTTAATCTAGCTAAGAATTATCAATTAGCCTTAAATAAAAAAACACTAACAGTTCCCCATTACTAAAAAAACACATTTGCAAATGTAAAATTGGGAGCAAACCTTTTCCTAGGGATAGGGCTGTGGTATAGAAGGGTCTCCTTATGAAAAATCAGCATTTGAAATTATAAATTTGTAATATTAGGAGGATAAATGCTTAAAAATTAAGAATGCAGCTGAATATCTTGTTTGACAGAGATGTATCTTTTTTTTTTTTTTTTTTTTTGAGACAGGATCCTCAAGCTGTTCCCCTGGGTAGAGTGCCGTGGCACCTTAGCTCACAGCAATCTCCAACTCCTGGGCTCAAGCGAGTCTCCTGCCTCAGCCTCCCAAGTAGCTGGGACCATAGGCGCCCACCACAACGCCCGGCTATTTTTTGGTTGCAGCCATCATTGTTGTTTGGCGGCCCCGGCTGGATTGAACCCCCCACCTTGGGTGTACGTGGCTGGCACCTTAGCCACTTGAGCCACAGGCGCCGAGCCAGAGATATCATTTATTACTAAACGGTCGGACGAGTTTTAACTCTGGTTAGGATAGGATGGTACCCCCCTCTTTAAAAACGTTTTGATTTTTTAAAAAGCAAATGACTAACAAAAACCTACATTTTCCTCAACACTTAAGAAACAGAAGGGTGAACATTCCAAGCTTTTCGAAGCCATTGTTAGTCGAATGGCTCAATTCAATCACATTTTATGCTTTATTTCCAAGCCCCATGAATGTACAGTGTGAATTTTGATCAAACACCATTCTAGGATTCTACATGAAATTTTAAGAAGAAATGTTTTGAAAATTCAGGAACAATTAATTTTGATGTATCTATTTCAACTGCAGAAATTTTCCATCCTGCAGACTGACATGAACTGCTATGTTGACTAGAAAAAAATTGCACATCAGTTTGAAATAATATTTATAAACTTTCTTTTATAAATACTATTTTCTTCAAAAATCCAATTATAATCAGTTTTAAACGGTAGTGTAAGTTTACTATATGGCATACTGATTAATAAGAAAATGCTATACATAGCACATTCAGAAATCTGTCTTTGTCCTCCTAAAAACAATCTTGAGCACAGATTTAGCTTCTATACAGAATCGGTATGTAATCACTTCAAAATGCCCACTTCCTTCAATTTTACCACTTAAATTCAGTGAAAGGAAGCAAAATATGTGACTAGAATAAGGCATTTAACAAACCTTTGGCCTGAAATAAAACCTCAATGGCAAATTAATCATTTTAAAAAATCATGGACCGACCCGCTGTGACTTTAAGGTACAAACAAACCTGTCTTAAAGCTGGCAGGTGAATTAGATATGAATTGCAAAAGAAAAAGCCACTGCTCAGGGGTATTAAGTTCCTTTAGAAAGAATAGGAAGCGTCAAGCTGAGGCAAAGCCGAAGCGGTCAATTCGCAAGGCTCTACTTTGGTGGTCTACTAGGACACTGGGGTTTAAAGCCACGGAAACACGTTCGAATTCTTCAGAACCTCTACCCGAATTCTGGCAGAACTGAGCAACCCTACTTTATCTTCTCGAACAAGGAAACTTGGGGTGGCTAGGGGAACAATACGTTATTCTTGCAAAGCAAACCAAGCCTGACTGAGACCGTTTGCCTACTTTTGAGTTTTCTCCCCCGACCTGGGCTGGAGAAAAGCAGGCTGTATACAAAAGGCAGACGAAAAGACCCCTGGGGAGGGGGGGTGTCCCGCATCGCGGGGCGGCCGGTGGAAAGGCCAACTCCGCTCCTCTTCCGCCGTGGGCCAGTTCTCAGACGGGCAAGGAGCCCCCACGGTGAAGTTCCCTCGGGAGTTGCCCCAGGCCCGCAACAAGGGCGCCCTCGGGAACTAGCCCACTTCTGCCGAGAGACCCCGAGGGAAGAGTTCGGGGCGGGAGGGGCGCGCTCCGGGATGTGGAGCCGGCGGGGGTCAACAGGGGGCCTCCCCTCCCCGGACTTCGGTCCAGAAGAGAGGGAGGCGGGGGTCCCACGGGGGCCTCACCAGGCGGAGCTGGCTAATTTCGTCGTAGGACATAAAGCTGAGGATGTTCTCGATGGCTACGATGGGCAGCGCCACCAGCGTGTTGTTTTGAGGCAGCTGGTCCGGAGACAGCGCCGGTGCTGGGGATGCCTGGGACGCCGGCTGCGGGGTCTGGGGTGGGGGCTGTGGGGGCTGTCGTTGGGCAGAGCCAGTGGCCGAAGAGGAGCCGCCGTCGCCGTGGCCGCCGCCTCCTTCCTCCGCCATTCGCGCCTCCGCCGCCGCCGCCATCTTGGGGGTTTGATTCCTTCCCCCCACTGCGAGGGGAGCAGGGACACTTCCGGCGCGTCACTTCCCCCTCCGACCGCCGGGGGTGGGGGCTCTGGAGGGGGGCGGAGCCTTGGGGCTCACAGGCGGAGCGAGCCCAACTTGGTGCTGTTGAGGTGGAAGGCAGGGAAAATCCTGCAAACCCCAATGAAGGTGGTTGTCTTAGACCGTGTTATAAATATCTGAGACTGATAACTACTTGACAGCAAGGGAATCCTGTTTGTTAAAATGAATTTCACTGGCACAGTTTTTAAAAAGCGCTTCCTGACAAAGGATGATGATAATAATGTCACCTAAGAAGTGCAGATGGTGGCTCGGCGCCTATAGCTCAGCCGGCTAAGGCGCCAGCCACGTACACCTAAGGTGGCGGGTTTGAATCCCCAGTCCGGAACCGCCAAACAACAATGATGGCTGCAACCAAAAAATAGCCAGGCGTTGTGGTGGGCGCCTGTGGTCCCAGCTACTTGGGAGGCGGAGGCAGGAGACTCGCTTGAGCCCAGGAGTTGGAGGTTGCTGTGAGCTGTAATGCCATGGCACTCTACCCAGGGGGACAGCTTGAGGCTCTGTCTCAAAAAAAAAAAAAAAAGTGCAGATGGAAATGTAGTTAAGACTATCACCATTTTTCTTTCTTTCTTTTTTTTTTTACCATGTGAGTGTAATTTATTTATTTATTTATTTATTTTTATTGAATGGTAACTATGTACATTGATGCACTTCTGGGGTACAGTGTGGGGTTTTCACATGCAATCTGAAATACTTCCATCAAACTGCTCAACACAGCTTTCATGTCATTTTCTCAGTTATTGCTTTAAAACGTTCACATTCTACTCTTAGAAAGATTCACCTGTACCCCTATAAGATAAACCTCAGAAGTGATCCCTCCAAACCCCTTCCCTCCTCTAGCCACCATTTTTCAAGAATCACAGTAATAACTGATTTAGGCACATAAAAAAGAACGAAGTGCTGATTAAAAATTGGCAATATGGATGAACCTTGAAAACATTGAGAAGTCAAATACAAAGGACCACATATTGTAAGGTCCTTTTTTTTTTTGAGACAGAGCCTCAAGCTGTCCCCCTGGGTAGAGTGCTGTGGCTTCACAGCTCACAGCAACCTCCAACTCCTGGGTTCAAGCGAGTCTTCTGCCTCCACCTCCCAAGTAGCTGGAACTACAGGCGCCCGCCACAAAGCCTGGCTGTTTTTTGGTTGCAGCTGTCATTGTTGTTTGGCAGGTCTGGGCTGGATTTGAACCCGCCACCTTAGGTGTACGTGGCTGGCGCCTTAGCCGGTTGAGCCACAGGCGCTGAGCCTGCTTTGTTTTTTTCTGAGCTTCATCTAAATGTGACATTATGTTTTCAAATGCACTAGACCATAAATAATAAGCCAGAATGATTCTGCACCTTTATCAAGAAGAAAAGCCTGCAAACTTTGGGCAAAAATACACCATACAGCATTTCAATGTTTCTATTGTCCTGTGTCCTCGAGAGGAGGCCTGAGTATTGGAAGCAGGTGCAGCAGGAAAACATCAGAACCACGTTAGGTAGTGAGGACACAGCCACAGAGCACTCAATCTACTGCAAGTCTAAATAGAAGATGCCAAGAGCTGAGAAGCGTGAATTGCAGAGTTGGAGGTATGGGACAAGAGAAGGAATAGAAGAAAACTAGTTTGTCTGAAGATTTGGAGGTGTCCGGAATATTTCTGAATTTACGTGAAGGGGTCTAGTCACTAACAGTTGTGGTTCAGACCCGTTTGCTAGATTTTAATGTATCTCAGAAAGTGGCAGGTCAAGGAGGGGGGTTTTACAGAGATAGATGCCTGCCTTCCTGTCTGGGTTCCAAACTTCTTGAGGCATTGTTGTCTCTGAAGGAAATAAGCAATTGTTATCTTTTTATTTATTTTATTTTATTATTATTTTTTGAGACAGAGTCTCAAGCTATCCCCCTGGGTAGAGTACCGTGGCATCACAGCTCACAGCAACCTCCAACTCCTGGGCTCAAGCGAGTCTCCTGCCTCAGCCTCCCAAGTAGCTGGGACTACAGGCACCCGTCACAACGCCTGGCTATTTTTTGGTTGCAGCTGTCGTTGTTTGGTGGGCCCGGGCTAGATTCAAACCCACCACCTTAGGTGTATGTGGCTGGTGCCTTAGCCACTTGAGCCACAGGAGCCGAGCCAGTTGTTATCTTTTTAAATGTGTCTTTCTCCTCAGTGCTATTACAAAGTTTTAGGTGCATGCTTGGCTGTTGTCCATTAGGGTGTGTGCCCATGCCTACCCTTTTTGGAGAACACTACCTGTTTAAAGGTAGACGCATGTACAGAAAGTCCCTGAGCATCATTCACGTGTCCTTTATGTATCTCATCTCTTACGATGACTTGAGTGGTGACAAGGCCTGGGATGAAGAGCACAGGACTTCTGAGGATGGAGTAGCCAGCAGTCCATTATCCCAAGGGATTTGGCAAACTGGACCGTGATATTTTTGTCAAAGAACATTTTGTTGGTGGGTTGGGGCAACATTTGGCAAAACTACGGTTTAAGAAATCATCTTAAGGCCGGGCGTAGCAGCTTACACCTGTAATCCTAGCAGTCTGGGAGGCCAAGGCGGGTGGATCACCTGAGCTCAGGAGCTTGAGACTAGCTTGAGCAAAAGTAAGACCCCCAACTCTACTAAAATTAGAAAAAATTAACTGGGCATTGTGGCAGGCGCCTGTATCCCAGTTACCCAGGAGACTGAAATAAGGGGATTTCTTGAGCCCAGGAGTTTGAGATTGCTGTGAGCTATGATGCTACAGCACTCTACCCAGCTCATGCAGTGAGACACTGTCTTGAGAAAAAAAAAAAAAAACCAGCAGGAGACAAAAGGGGAGGGTTGGTAAGGCAACAGTACCTACTAGAATTCCTGGATGAGCTCATAACGTTTTGGGCTGGGAACTCTCAGAGTTAAATGGAAAACCAGGGACCTAACCTTATAGGCTGGGCCAGTACGATGAATAGGGGAAGCTCAGGCCCAGTTCAGTGGAGGGTGCTGAGTAACTTGCCTGGTGTCACCATGGAAGTTTGGCTGTTGTCTAACTACTGAGTCGCTTGACCCGTTTGGCACTTTATCCTTTCCTGTTACATCTCACAGTTCATTGGGGTGCTCTTGTCACACACTGTGAATGCATGTATGGTTACCACCTCTGCCTTGGTAACTTCTTCACAGCATTTGGCCTTGGAAAACTTGAGCTGGGTTCCTGGACGGGTTCTGGCCACCCCTTATCCTGAGCTGAGGGTAGGGAGGAAATGAAGAAACAGGGACATCTCTCCTTCTGACCAGAGGAAGCTCGATTTGTGTCCCTGTCTACTTCCTTCGGCTATTATCCCCTCTCTCTGCAATCATTTTAATGCCACTTACAAGAATAGCTTCCTTCTTTCTCTCTTCAGATTGTATAAACACTATGTTGGTCTGTTCTCTACCTGTAATTGAGGAACCAAAGTGAGGCTCCAAATTTCTTGAGAACAATTGCTACTTTGTGAGCTCATAGAAGGATGAAGTCGAGGTTCTTTAATAAGGGGGGAAAGGAGAAATGAGAAACATATAATTATGGGAGCAAATCAACTGGTAGACGGAAGACTATACTGACTCTTTTGTTTTGTTTTGTGTTTTGCTTTGAAGACAAGGTCTCACTCTGTAGCCCAAGCTTGAGAGCAGTGGCATGATCATATCTCTCCCTGTAACCTTGAACTCCTGGGCTCAAGCAATCCTCTTGCCTCAGTCTCCTAAGTGGCTAGAACTATAGGCGTGCATCACCATGACTGGCTAATTTTTTAAAAAAAATTTAAATTCTGTTTTAGAGGTGAAGTCTCACTATGTTGTCCAGGCTGGCCTCAAACTTGTGGCCTCAAGCAGTCCTCCCACCTTGGCCTCTCAAAGTGCTGGGATTGTAGGTATGAGCCACTGTGCCCAGGATACACTGACTATTTCATATTTCAAGTCACAATGGTATCATTCATTGCCCTAAATTAGTGGTTGACACATCATCAGTGCTTATTGAAGAAAAATATTCCTGTTATTTCTTCTGGGGATTTGGAGTCCGTGGATCTGGGGTGGATCCAGGGATCTCATGTTAATAGGTCCAGCAGGTTTGGAAAACTCTGTCTTCAGGCTTACATTGCTGAATAGTGCCCACAAGATCTCAGAGTATACATTATTTTGTTTTGAACAAAATTTTTCTTATTAGGATTTATTGAACCAACATTAACAAATATTAAAAACAAATTGCCTCTATTTCTGTTATTCTAAAATGATAGTTTCACTTCTCTGCAATTCCTTGTATACTATACTCACATTTTGCCTGTTTATAAACATGAAAATATACAAATTTAATTCTTTGTATTTTTCCTACATATCACATCGAAAATATTTGTTCTTGGATGTTATAGAGAAGCTATTTGAATAATCCAGGGCAGAGACATTGGCTCAGACTAGGATGGTGGCCGTGGGGATATAAGGACATAGATGGATTAGGGTATACTTTAGAGATAGGTTTAGAATCTCTGATGGACTGAATGAGGTAAAGAGAGGGATCAAGGATGATTCCTACATTTTTGAGCAATAGGGTGACTGAAGGGGCCATTTAATGGGAAGAAGACTAAGAAGAGACACAGGTTTTAGCAGAGACAAATCAAGAGTTATATTTTAGCCATGTCAGGTTTTTTTTTCAGTTTTTAGCCAGGGTTGGGTTTGAACCCACCACCTCGGACATAGGGGCTGGCGCCCTACCCTTTTGAGCCACAGGCATCGCCCGCCGTGCCAGTTTTAAGATGTTCATAGATTCAGGACTTGAAAGGAAAGAAAAAGGGATTCATTAATTCATTTGGCAAAAATGTATTGATTTTTTTTTCTTTTGATACAGAGTCTCTCACTCTGTTGTCCAGGCTAGAGAGCTATGGCATCAGCCTAGCTAGCAGCAACCTCAAACTCCTGATCTCAAGTGATCATCCTTCACCTCAGTCTCCTACGTAG